CCTAGTCACTTTGCAAGCTCAGTCTAATTAGAGTACCTCTGCTTGTCTGCTAAAGTACAAAGGCTTATCGACTGGAGTGCCATATTTTTCGTATATTGAGTTCCCGATGCTTTTTTTCACAATAATACTAGTATTTTTCGTTCATTATTGTTTTAAGCTTATTTTAAAAATTATTTTTAACTTATTAGGTCAATGTGCTTTAAAAGCGTTTTTTTAAACTATATTTTTATTTATTCTTTTTACTCACGACGTACAAAACGTTAAACATTAACATTTTGTTAACTTTCACGAGTGCGATTTTTAATCTTTTCTCTTGTTTTTATGTTTATTAAAACATATTTTGAACTAATAAATTAATAGTGTTGAATTTATTCACGTAAGTGGTGAATCTGCGTTGCCTCTCATTACTACCGTATTACTGGTGTAAACAAAAAGGTTAGTAAACTAGAATTAGAATAAAATTGAGTGGTGTACATCAATAAAAATAAATATGCTTAATTGTCCACCTGCTCGTGACCCTAGGTTTTACTAAACAAAGTATTACTTAAGGATTTTCCTCATTGTGTAATTACTTCAAATATATTACACTTATAAATAATATGACTGCTGTTACTTCGTAAATTCCATTAGGCCAACTGTAGTATAGAAAAACTACCATTTGGATAACTAAATACTAAATAATCACCCTTAAAAAATTTTTAATTAATTTTTAATAATGAATAAATATTTTATAATTATTAAAAATAAAGAAACAAATAAATTTATTATATATATTATTACCTATTTTTAATCAGTTACATTTTAAGTACAATAACTACGCAAAAGTTTTAATCAAATTAAAAAAAAATATGAAATATATTTTTAATTATTTATTTGAATTTTCGCATGACAGTAGCAAATAACATTTACTAAATTATTCAAACGTAATACTACTATTTTTCACGATATCTCGGAAAGTAAGTGTGCACAAACGAATGAGATATTAAAAAATACGAAATTAAAAAAAGGGGGGGCTGGAGAAATGGACCCTTTGGTTTATCTTATTCTTGCCATACGTAGGAGAAATAATATGGGATGTTCTGTATGGAGTATAATAGTAGATTAATGTTGATGGATTGAACTGTGAATTGGGACGTATAAACAATATCAAATGTATTAAAAAAAATTGTAAATATATTTTATATGTATAATTAATACTAATGCCACAATGGCACAATGATAAACAAAAAAAATATAATATAAATGTAAATAAATATTAAATTGAAGATAAACAAGTATAACACTTATCGGCTAACTTATGACGAACCACTAAACAATAATGGAAATGAACTAACCCACGTGAGTGTCGCTGGTTGATGTGTTCATACGTTGTCTATAGTTTAATATTTAAAATTTAAAAGTCAGTCATTGTTATTGAAATTTCATATACAATTTGATTTTTTTAGAGTGAATTTTTTCATTTAATAATTTTTTTTTTCATAAAAATATACAAATTTAAAACACCACTTTTCTTTTATATCTACTTGTCTTTAATGTTTTAAACCTTCGGACTTCCAATCCCGATAGAACGTCTTTATAAGCTAAATGACCAAACCCAGCATCCCAATGCGCTCAATAAAATGCATAATAATTAGATCTCAATATAAATAATTAGAAGTCGAATTCAAAATGTCACCAAAATGTGTTCTATGCCGTGAACAGTACTGTAATGTACATTAAGACACAAATAATCGTAAAGGGAATACACTAAGAACATTCAAAGATATGTCAATCTGAAAGGCGATATATCAACTTTTGCAGAACAACTATGTGCACTTTAACACCATAGAGCCATATTGCAAAAATGTTAAAATGACGGAAAACTCAAACACAAAGTTGGACTGACAGAAACTCGGTGCCGTAAGACGATCACAAACGTTAAAAAACGGTGTAGCAATGCGCAAATATCAAGAATTTGTTAAACAAAATAATGTTTGTGATTTTCTTTGTGAATAATTTTTTCTTTTTTATCTATGAGGTAAATTGAACAGTTATTTGCACCTCAATGAAAACATCTACGTTTGAATCAGAAAGTTCATTCTGTAGCTTAAGCTTCATTTTTTTCACTTGTTTAAATAAATTAAAAATTATGTTAAAACTTAAATTATAGCTATCAGAATTTGTTTAACTTTAATAAATATTTTAATTAATTGGTTTTTTAATAAGTTACGAAAAAAAATACAAATATTGGCACATCATTTTTTTCATAAATACTAATGTTTTCAGATTAAACAATTATTGGACCTCATTTTTCTTGATACCCTTTTTAAACTAAATATGGTATATTTTACAGTTGAGTAAAAATTTTAATTTAGGTAAAATTATAAAGTAGATTGGCTAATTATTAAAAAAAAACATTTTAAAATCTATAACAGTGTCTTTAATTGATGAAATACCTAAAAATATGCTAATAACTATACATTTTACTGTATCAAAATTTTAAAACAATTAATACATTCAATATCAAACATTATTAGTATAAATAATTTTTTGACGATCATTAACATTCAAACAATAAATAATTTTATCAAAAATATATAAATAGTATAACCTAGCTTTTAGCGAAATAGTTAAAAATGGTTACTTAAATAAATAATTAATATGTGACAAATAAGTAATATATATTTCTATAATTTAAAAAAAAAAACCTTTTTCGTTGTTTATTCATAGAATAACCATTTTAAAACTCTATATTTTACAAATAAAAAAATAGTTTTCATTAATGTCATTAGATTTTCAGCGCGAAACGGATTATTGACTATAAATAACTATAAATTAAATTAATATTTTTTAATATTTGTAAGTTTGTATTGAGTTTATAAGAATAAATCAAGATTAAAATTAGAGTTTTTTTAGGAAAAAATGGCAAAACTTGCTCAACTTCTATTTATAACACTTTTATTCACTTTGTGGATAAATCAAGTAACCTGTGTCGATGATGAAAATCTCGAGGAAAAATTCAATAATATGATGATTATGTTTACAGGAATAAATTATATACATAGAATACATCAGACAACAGTGAATCAAGAACTTTTTAATAAGATGATACATGATGTAATTTTCGATTTGAAGTGCAGTTACGCTTATAGTAGTTTACATTACATTCGCTTGACAAGATGTACAATTCAATTTAACAACAAATATGTTTTCAATTGGATAAAAAATTGTCCTCAATTTTGCTTTGTAGATATTATTAAGTCAATGTTGGTGACTATGAGAAATTGTAATCAATTAACTGATGTTGACTTTCTTTGGTGGTTTTATATGTATGTAGAACATTTTGATACAATTATTAAACATTCATATACGATTTTCAACCAACAAATAGATTTCATGTTACATAATACCGTAGAAAAAAATATTTTGGAATTTATTGATCATAATAAATGCGATTCAAATAATACTTATAATGTGGAGGATGAACACATTAATGTTTACAAAAAAGTACCAGAAACTAGTAGTGACTGGAATGATTTTTTACCAGAAATATCAGAGAAAATTTCTGATCTTAAATTATTACTGCAAACACAATTTCAACAAAACCAAAAATTTGCCGAATATAGTAGCCTTCACAGTTTATTTGAATATAATCAACTAAGTATGAACATTGTGTTGTATAAAGACGATGTATTGAAATGTTTACTGAATGATTTTGGAGAATTAGAAAACTCTAATATTATTTTTAAATATATAAAAGACGACTATAAAACATTATCAAAAAGGACGGGACTTATCAAACATCGATTTATTCTTCTCGGGCAGATGCAACTCAAGATTATCAGTCTCCTTAAAATCATTATGCTTCAAATTATATTGAGACATATGAATTATATAAAAGAATATTTAGAATCTGAAACCACTGGAATTTGTGCTATTTTTAAAATGTTTTGTATTCAATCTGTATTAAATAATGTAAATACAAGGCTGTGGTACCAAATTTCAAATTTTTTTACATTAACAAGTTTGAGAGAAGACCCTCATTATAAGAAAATTATAGCTGATTTTGAAACTAATAACTTTAAAAATAAAGATAATATTGACGACATTGTTGTTAGTATTCTCAAAATTATTGAAGAATTGTCAACTAACATATATAGTTGTCAGTTATCATATCCAAAACAAATCGATTGTAGTTATGTGAATAATTCTATATTAAATAAAAAATTAATTTCTAATCAGCTTAGTAAATCATGTGATGTTGATGATGTTCATTCATCATTTAAAGAAAGTATATTAAGTGCTTATGTTTTTGTCAATTATGTTAGACAAAAATTCAAATTTATAGATTTTAATATTATACTCTCTTTCTTAAAATTTTCAAAAAATTTAACTGTATGAATTCACATGTGACACAGAATAAAATACTGATAATTATAAAATCACAATTAGTTGTTTTACATATATAGATACTAATGTCTGTAAATATTCTAAATAATACAAACAATCCATAAAGGGTTTAACATTCATACAGTTATTTTAATTCAAGTCTTTGAATTGTACTGTAAGAACATTCTTTAATGTATATATCAAATTTATGTTAACACTATATAAAGCCTTGAACATTCTGTTGAGAAAAAATCATTTAACAAAAAGATATATTTTAATCTATAATGATTACAATCAAGTATTACTGCTATATAATAGAATTGGTAAGTTACTTTAATTCGACAAGCAAAATAATACTTAAAATATTTTTTCAATTTTCATTGCTAATTAATGACTATTGATGAACTCAAATTACAATAAATCCATTAAATTACTATGAAAATCTTTTTTATTTTTCCTTATATAGTCAAGCATAGATCACCATCCCTTACTTTTGATTTTAACATTTCTTCTAAATCTTGATCATTAGCATACCTTGCCAGAGGTTTTTGCATTTCACGAATCTCATAGTTATGTTGTCTTGAGCATCTTGCACTTGCTTTACTCCTTTTCCCCAAACAGCATATTTTTCTTTATGTTCTTTTAATTTTTCCTCTTTTAAAATTTCGTCTTCTTTTTATTTTTTTGACAAATTTTATAATCATAAATTTTCCAGAAAATCAAAAAAATATACATATTAGTAATTTCTGTTAGTAAATAAATCATAAATTTCAAGAAGAACTCATCTCATAATTAACTATTTTTATATTTTTTTCAATTATGAAAAAAATATAATCACTTATTTAAGATTAAAAACTTTTTTTCTATTATGTTTAATAATTAAACATAATTAATTTATTACAATAAATTATTTATTGTAATAAAACTAAAAGTAAATTAACACAATTTCATTTAATATAGAAATGTTAAAAATAAATTAATGCTTTAATTAAATATTGTATTAATTTATTATCTAAAACTAACAAACCCGTTATTAAATTGTATAAGTTAATCTTAAAAATCTTTTTTTTTTTTTGTTGTCTCTGACATGATTCTATTTAACGAAACCATTTTAGTATGACTTATCACAATAGTTATGTTACTAAATAAATACTGCCCTTTTATTTCTAATTATAGATATTCAATTTTTTGTGTCTCCTAAAAATGTTCTAAATACCTATTTGAGACCTTTTCAAAAATTGTAATTCAATTGTATCAATAATATAAAAATAACTTTGATCAATTATTTTTTTGTCAAAACAACCTCCCTCCACCTTGTATATAGTTATTCAAAATCAATAATTTTGGGATTATGAACAACAATATCGTTTTTATTATATTTATTTTAAAGTTATTAGTATTAAAATCACTTATAATTTCCTTAAAATTCATTATTTTCTTTTACTTGTAAATTAAAAAAATTCTAATATTTGATCTCAGCTTTATATTTATATTGAGTAATAAAATTAGAGCATTAAAAATATTATAAATAGTACAAATTCAAGTAATTTTCAAATAGTCTCAATATAATTTAATGTGCAATGATTTTAATTCAATCATGAAGGCCTTTTTTCAGTAGATCCAACTTCTTTGGCATTATTTTCATCATTTTTAAACAATCCGAATATTGGATATCTATTTTTGTATACAACATGATCTCTAATTTTTCTAATGGGTACAATTTTTTATGGTATTAATGATTTATTCGAATCCGGAATTTAAATAGTAAAATTAAATTAAACAAACATATCTTTTGTAACATGTAGTATAAATATACACCAATAGAGGCAAATTAAATTATTTGATTTATTTTTTAACACCAAACTCACGCAAAAGTGCAAAAGTTATTTTTTTAATATTTAAGTAAACTCAATGTACAATTGCTATAATACATAATATTGCTTAGTATAAATCAAAATTTAAATAATTTTATGTGAAAATATTTTTCCATTTAATGCAATTTTTTTTAACAAAATCCTTCTTTGCTTTTTATGTAAATAAAAAATATTGCCTTTTATTTTGTATTGGGCAACTCCTTTAATATTAAATTAAGTATAGCTTGATTATTTGTGATGATTTTCTTATCTTTGATGAAGCATAAAACAGAGAAGGGGAATGAAATAAGGTACATCTGTTTTCTGAATATAAATGTAATGAAATATTTATTACATTTTCTGCAAATATAAATCTTAAGCATAAAGAGCAAAGGGATAACTTACATGCTAAACTGTTACATAATAATAGTTTTCAATAAAATGAATATAATTTAAAAATAAATCTTATCTGAATAATAATATAACTTTTATGTAAGCCTATAATTTGGGGTTTGAAAATGAAAATTTTATCAGTTTTTTATTGTATGTAATAAATGTATACTCTAGTATGTGATAAATATAAACAACTAGTACTGGCTGCAAACAACACATTACGTCAAAGAAGGCAATAATAGTTTAAAAAACAAATAATAATTTTAGTATTGCTATATACTAATGTTATATATGTATCATGTTTGTAACTTATGATTGATAAATTATTGAACTTGTTAAAATACCAATGGTAACGCAGTTCTTGGCGTAATTTTATATCGTTCACATATTGTGTTATTTGTTTTAAAATTAAATTATTTTATAATTAATATTTCCACTCACGCCTTAAAAAATTATGCTTAACTAAAAAAATAGTTTTAAAATCAAGATTTACCAAAAATATTGATAACAATAGTACTATGAATGAACAATTTAAATTAATCAATTGATATTAAATTTGTTTTTATACAGAAGTTGATAGAAAACGTTATATAGTAATTTTCTATTATGATGATTCATATGAAGTAATTAAGTTTTAGATTTCCAATAAATAATAGGTTAATACTATTATTTAGCACTTAATCTATTTTTCATTTAAAATAAAATTTTTCAATTCTATTTTGGTAAATTGAATGAATGAATTTATTGTTTTGAAGCATATTAAAAAATGTTTTTTTATGTATCTAATGAATACTGTAGATCTCATTATACTATCTTTAAATATCGGCTTAATTGATTTAAAATCAAATGTTTCCCCAAGACTTTCAGCTATTTCACTAGAAATATTTATAGAATTATTCGTGTATTCAAAATTAAAATCTTTAGAATAAGATAGTTCACAATTGTATAGTTCACGTGACAATATAATTAGATTATTGTTGATAGCATCTGTAACATTTTGATTTGCATCCAAAACTTTAGTTTTGGAAACAGCATCGTCGAATAGTGTAGGGATTATTTTAAAATCAGGGTCTTTATGCAAATCTAAAATATCAATAAAATCTTTAAGTTTGGTCGAAATTATTGTATTCATTTCTTTCATCACAATTGGAAAACTTATAATACTACAACTCAATAAAGTACAGATAAAGTTATTATCACAATCAACGTATTCATTGACATAGTACATATATTTCGTAAGTATTTGAAGCATAATAATTTTCAATAGACATATAATTTTGCTTTGAACTTGACCAAGAATTGCAAATCGTCGTTCAATCCGTTCGTGCATATTATGTACAAGCTGATAATCTTGTTTTATATGGTGTAAAGTAACTTCCCAGTTATTAATCTCCCCAAAATCCCTCATTAACCTTTTTACTACTTGATCATTATGAAACACATGATTCATACTTAATTTTGAAAAATCAAATGAGTTCATGCCATTAATTGCACTTGTAAATTTTGAATTCATTTCAAATTGGGTTATGATAACTGAATAATGTTCTTGGAGTAAATTCGTTCGATTATCCAGGAAATCGTTCCAGTCATCAACAGATTTTGGTATCTGCGAGTAAATGATATCGATGCGATTTCTTTTATTAGCAGTGTTACAGTTGCAAATGTCATTATATGCGAATTCTGAAAGACTTTTCACAACGGTTTCACAAGTATCTGTTATGATCTTTTTATCATACTTTACTTGCGGATTCACAATTATCTCATAAAAATACACAACGAACATGTAAACCCACCAAAGAATTTCCATTGAATTAATATAATCACAATTTTTCATTGTCGTCATCATCGATTTAACTATATCTGTAAATGAATATTCAGGTATACTTTTCACTCTATTAAATATTTCTTCATTTCCATTTTCGATTATATACCTGGTTAGAGAAACATAATATAAACTATTATGAGCATAGCTACACTTTAAATCCTCCACTACTATTCTTTTGTACATTTTGAAAAATTTTGGAGTTATATTAGTATGTTGATCTACAGAATATTCTATTCCTGTCATAACATCCATCATGTCCTTGAATTTTTCATCAAGATTTTCTTGAACCATTCTGGTGGCCGCCACTACCCAATTTATTAGTAATGATAGAAATAAGTATTGTGTAAACCATTTCATTTTCATTTTTTAAATGTTTATTATTTCCTAAATAAAATATAAAAATTTATTTATTTTTTTAATTTTCAAATTATAGTACCTCTTGCTTTGGAAAGATTCGGGAGAAAAAGTTAAAAACAAATTATTTCAAATTATCAAAGATATATGCGTAACTGGTGAAATGCCGGAGGATTACGTAAAAAGCATCCCCATGCCAAAGAAACCAACAGCGAAAAAACATAAATAATTCCGTATATATAGCCTGCTATCCTATGTTAGTATCTAAAATACTAATAAAGATTATATTCCAACGTATTGAATCCAAAATAGAACAATCGCTGATGGAGGACCAATTTGAGATCAGGAAAAATATGAGAATTAAAGAAGCAATTTTGGCATTAAGAATAATTATTCAGAAAAGGATTAGGAAAGAAGATAAACAAACATTCATAACTTTTGCGGATATCAAAAAAATATACTGCAGTATAAATTATATAAAGATGAGATAGCTGTTGTAAAAATTCAAAATAAAGTAGGTGAAGCAAAAATAAATAAAGGAGTTAGACAAGGATCCACCCCATCTCCAATTATATTCAACGCAATATTCAAGGAGCAATAGATAAGATAAAATAAGATACTATCTAGGGATAAAGATCAACGATCAGAAAATAAATATGTTGCGCTTCTCCGATGACATAGACTTAATTGCTGAAAATAAGGAAGATTTGGATGTGAAACCTGGATAATATCAACACAAGAACAAAAAAGGCTAGAGTCGTTTGAAATGTGGTGCTATAGAAGAATGTTAAGAATAAGTTGAATAGACAGAGTAATATAGAAGTACTGGAAAGAATAACAGAAGGAAAGTTATTATGGAATAATATAGTAAGAAAACGAAATGAAAAGGAAAGGCCACATAATGCGACACGAAGGATTGCTAAAACTGATTATAGAACGAAGCGTAGAGGGGAAGACCAAGATTGGAATATATTCAACAGATAATAAAAGACCAAGTAAACAACTCATATGTAGAAATGAAAAGGAAAGTGGATAATAGAGAAAAATGGAAGGTGGCTCCAAACCAATTCACAGATTGAAACCATAGAGAGAAAGTATCTCTTACAGTGGCGTAACTTCAAATTTTCCGAATTTCGCCTCAGAACAGAGAAGTTCTAACACAAGTTTTTTATTTTTCTGAGGAACATCTGTTAGTTTAAGTAATGTTTATAGATCCGTCATTAAAAATCTATAATTTGATTTGATAACTTATGAGGTTATAGAAATTTACAAACTTTAAAAAGCCATATAAATGTTCAAAATATAAATAAACCACAGAAAAGCTCAAATTTTAAAGAAGCCATTGAAATACATTGACAAAATATGTCTTTGATTTTACATTTCATATTATAATGAAATTATTTAAGTCATAGACATATCAATTAATTGACTGAGAATGCGTGGTAATATGCAAATTTAATCTGAGATTACCAAAGGTATTGAATCCGTTATTCTACTATTTAAACTGTAATGTCACACCATAACATTGTATGTGTGCACACAGTGTGTATCTCAAAATTTGATAGAATGTGTTTTTTTTTATAATGATAAAATAAGTGTTTCTGAATGTTTTTTCTATATATACTTCTTGTAAGAGTGGTAGTTCTATTGCAAATTGTGTTGTTAATTATGAATAAGTACAATACTTAGTGGTTTTATCACAACTTAGCAATTGAAGTTTTACATGGTTGATATTTAAAACATACCGTAGTCAATGTCTATATTATGAAATGGAATAAAATACACGTGAGTACTTAAGATATTCGCGCAATAAAAATAAATTTTACAGTAAAGGTTAATAAATAAATTTAACTGGATTGTTAAAAAACAAAGATCAAGTTACACGTGGATAAAAATACAAATGTACCAAAAACCATGTCTACAAAATAAATAATTTAACATATAATTAACATATTATTTAAACAAAAATATAACAAATATCACAGACGGTTTAAAACACATCTGTTAATGTTAATTGTAAATTAATGAAGAACAACAAGAACTTTCTGGACACTCACTCTCTTTAACTTTGGCTTGAAGAAAAGGGAATTACATTCTCTCTACACTTCAAGACAATAAAATAAAAATACAATTAATACTAACTTACCAAAAATTATGATTGTTTTCTTTTTAACAAAATTTGAAGTCCATCAAACATATTTTATATATTTATAGATACCAAACTTCTAATGTTTAACTAGATGGTTTATTAAAAGCTTCTATTGTTTAACTAGATGGTTTATTAATAATTTCTGAATTAACAAAAATATGACATCACAATTAAAAATACAAAATTTAAGTGCATTGTAATCGTAAAAAAAATATAACAGAGAATATAACAGAGAATGAACACTATGAGTAAATAAATAATTATTCTTATTTTTAACTTCATTAAACACTTCTTCATCGCGTTGTTAAATTATATACCTAATTAGGCGAATGTATGTACTGCTATACACATAACTACTTTTTAAACATTAATAACACATTTAATAAGTTGAAAACTCTCTTAAATTGTTTTGAATTTTATTACATTTATTTAATTTAAAACACAAAACTGAATTTAATCATACTACTTAAAAATATATAACAACTTTCTTATTTTGGATCATGTTCTTGCGTTTAAGTTTGATGCTACCTAATTATTTTACTTAATATTTTATTATTCTATGAATAATAGTTCAAACAAAATAAAAATATCAGCAATTAAATAAAAAATATAATTTATTTGTATAAGAATACTTTTTTATTATAAAATTAATTAAATAAGATTAGTTAGGTTTCATTATGACTAAAAAATTCGTAATAAAATGCTATTTATAAGTCTTATTATTTATGTTGTTTAGCTTAAACCTTAACTTGTTTCAAATGTAAGGCCAGTGCCTCTTAAATTATCTTCAGTAAATTTGTCAAATTTAACTGATAATTCTTCAGACATGTAATTTTTCCAATCTCCAACCTTTCCTTTTCTAATAAACTGTTCATCTGGATTATCTTCAGATCCCTCTGATTTTTCCATTATAGCAAGAATAGGTTTTAAATTCAAAGCTGGATTCTTCCTCATGTTGTTAAAGCTCAAGTGATCTTCTAACGCTAATACTTGTTCTTCGGTTAACTCTTTGGCAAGGAATGATGCCACTTGCCTTATAGCACCCTTTAGATTCTAGATAATAATTAATTAGTAAAATAATTTTTAACTTTTATATTATTTAATTGTTTTTGGTATCAAACAAAAGGAGTAGGGGGTAATTAAGATTAAGGCATTTATTTTTTAGAAGCTACTGAAAAATTTTAATTTTTGTAAAAAGAAAAAATATTTGGTTCAAAAATCTTATCATACATACCAAACTACATATCATATCATATGTAGTTTAACAATTTAATTTACTTAAATGGTAAACAATTTTTTTAACTTGATAATATGACAAAAAAAAATATCAAACAATTTTGTTCTTAGAAATTTTTTATCCAATTAATCGTAGTGAGTACATAACGTGAGTGGGTACAGCTTTTATTAGTATATGTAAACTCCCCCGACATAACATACTCATTTCCTGTATTATTATGAATAAAAATATTGTAAGAACAAAATGTTTGAGATTTTTTTTCTGTCATATTATCACGTTAAAAATAGTGAAAAGAATTAAAGTTAAGGTTTTTTTTTTAATTCTGAAGGGGTGAAAAGATAAATTATTAAACTACATATTGTTTTAAAGTTTTTTAAACCAATTATTTTTTCTCTTTAAACAATTTTTAAATTATCAATAGTTTTTTTTTTTTTAATAAAATATTCTCTTTATTTGTGTATTTAAAATATAATACGTACAATAAATAAATTTTTTAAATTAATTGATTACATGGATAGGATGAATGGGTAGTTCACATTAGAACCACCTCAAAATAAAATTTATTAATAGCATCAAAGAAACTAAATGTTTTTACCTTAATCAATGACTATGTATATTTATCGTTATTTATACTTAAATATTCTAACCAAATATAGGCATAACTGTTATATTACTGATAATTGTTATGATTTTAAAGCTTTCTTGTTTCTTAATTAAAATTTACTTTGGAATTTAAATAATGAACATCAGTTATAATTAGCAATAATAATTTTTAAAAGATATGATCAACTGCTCGGTTAATTTGATATTTTTCATAATTTACAGTAAATAATTTATAACTTACTTTTTTCATATCTTCATATTTCAAAAAAAGTAAATTTGTTTCATCTCTTTTTTCCCAGAATCTTAAAATATGGTTCCAAATGGGTCCAATAGGAGTCTTTCCTTTAATGAAAAGTTCACAAAATTCATCAAAAGAACCGTGTAAACCATGAATAAGTTTGCAGTAATGGTAATAAGAAACACACATATCCTTGGGATTACGAGCAACATAAATTATTTTTGGTTTTACAATGCTCAATTTTTGTGGCAACAATTGAGAAGGCAAATGAGTCTTAATAAACCTTGGCGACGGCATATTTTCAACTTGTTCTACCGAGTTTCCCAATTGTTCATTTAGTTTGCTCGTATCATTTCCCATAAGTGCAGTTAATCTAAAGATATATTATATATTGCATTAACTAAAAATAATAACAATATCATGCTTAATATTATATGTTAATATTAACAAATAACTAACTATCATAAATAATTCAATAATTTTTCAGTTTTGAATAATAATTAAAATACATTATTTATTAGTTTAAAATATTCTAAGAAGGCAAACAAACTAATAAAAAGGAAAAGCTAGGGACATCTGCTTTCTTAAATATTTTTGGCTCAACGTAGTAAATATTATTTTCTATTAATATATATAACTCAAAAATTTTGACGACCTAATATATGAACTCCATATATTTTTTCCTATCATACAACATAAAACTTATTAATTATATAGTTACATGTTTATAAGTCCATTTCAGGAACAAGTCTAGAATTTTTCCAAGATGGGGTGCAAAAATTTTCAACCGTTGTAATCAATTTTATCATTGAAAATAACTTTTTTTTACTTCTAAATGAGCAATAATAATTCAAGGATCTGTTACTTGATTTAAGTATTTTTTTATTCGTACTTTGTTTAAAAATTGAAAAAAATGAATTATAATATTTATAATTCTCATTTTACTTCATGATTTTATATAGTTTTTAATTAAATTTATTTATACAGTATATAAAGTTTCGAGCGAGTAATTTGGAGTAATCCAAAATAGGACTAATCCTCATAAAAACTTGAGGGTATAATAAGTTATTAGTAATCAATTTAGATTAATCTTATAAATTTAATAGTTTTTGTTAATGAATAAAAAAATGTATATTATATTTAAAAGTTAAAGTCTTTTTTTCTTTGCTTACTCTAATAAAGGATTTCTCGACTGACCAAGCATACTCTTCGCTCTCTCAAAATCTAAATTGTTACAAATACACCAAACCATTTCTTGAGCCCATGTACTTCCTGATAAATAACAAGATAAATATTGCTTATAAATAAAATTATTAACTGAATAATATATTCGAGCGCATTATTTTAATAGTTGAAAATCACAAATTAAATTTTTTATTTATGAAAAATTTGTTAAGTTTGAGTGTGAAAATTAAATTGAATTTACAAATAGATTTAAAATAAACTTTAAGAATTTTTTTAAATAAACTCTTACGATATAAGAAGAACTAAAACTACAAATAAACGAAATAAAAAACATTATTTATGTGTTACAAACATAAATTAATGAAAAAAGTTGTCATAAATTTACAACAATGTTTTCCCAAAAACTGGATAATATACTTAATTTTAATATATTTTTTAAGAAAATATCTTTTATTTTTTTTAATCTTTTAAAATAAATATTTAAAGTAAAAGATATAAAGGATTAGTAACTGCAAGATTTTAAGAATTTCAAAAAAAATTCGTATGTTATTTAAGAAAACACTTAAATGATCTTAACTTTTTTATAATTTTTATTTCAACTAAAAAGTTTTCTTACCGGTCCTCGGATAGGACACAAGCCAAATGTCATCTGGTCGGACCTCCATGTTTAAAATCCTTTCGCCCAAATCCCTGTATTTAGGCGGAAGTATAACATTCCCTGGGTTGACTTCGATTAAACAATCTTTAACACCAAATAAATCATCCAACCGCTTGGCGATTTTATCCTCGATATTTTCATACTTGATGTACATTTTAATTTAAGTTTAAATTAATAGATTAAGGTGTTTAATAAAATTTAGTATATAAAAATATTAATAGTGTGGCTATATAGAGGTCCAAAGTACGACTCATGCAATTTCAGGATAAAACGTCTTTCTTTAAAGCATACTTTCTCTAGACTCTATTTCCGTAGAAGGAGAAAGTAAAAACTACTTTCTCTTATGTAACTGTGCACGAAGGTCAAAAATGATGATACAAAAACATTTAAAGCAATATATGATTCTCAGGAAATAAAATAACAATTACTGTTACATTATCTTACATATATTATACACATGAACTTCATAATACAATAAACAAATCTAATTAAATATCAAATCTTTATAGTTTTGTAGGAGATAATAATTAGATACATTACAACAGGTAGTAGTTCTGACCACAGTTAAACGATCTGCTCTCTCGAAGTTTGCTTTCACTATTTCATAATATCTCCCATCACTAAATAAACATATATAAACAATGTATGCTAGTTTAAATATTAACTATACTAGTTTTTGTTTTGTATTATTCTTATTGAATTTTAATGGTTAAAGTTAATACTACCTTAAAACTAGACACTTGAGCTTCAAGCACTTTACTCGAAATATATCTATAGCTTTTTGACTCTTATCTGAAAATCTCAAGTTGTCTGGATCCCATTTTAATTCTAATCTCTCCAATTTCGGGCAATTTGTAGCTATGCCATCCATGAGTTGGTCTACTAATATATTACCCATCAATCGTTCTTGAGTACCCATTACCACAATTCTAAAATATGTTTTATTGAACAAATTTTCTTTAATATTTTGTTAAAAAAGTTTTATTATAGATTTTAGATTTTGTGATTATCCAATAGTATTATGTTTATTGTTATTGTTTTATCAATTGTGGCCGCCTAGTACATTTTATTGACAAAATTAAAATTATAATCAAGTTTTTACTAAAGATTAAACTTGGTTTTTATTCAGTACTTTATTTATACATATCTAAATTTTTATTTTTAATTTAGTTAAAATTATTCTGCTTAAATAGTTTGTTTTTAAATGACCCATGAATTGAACGATATAAAGAAAGTGATAAGATAACTTTTATTATTTATTTTAATAAATAAAAAAAGTAATAACTGATTTTATAGGCTATATTTTAGTATATTATCAACAATTATTAATAACATAATAAAAAATAATCAACATATGTTAGGATTAAGTGTATAAATTACCAAATTATTTTAAGTATAATTACTAAAAATCACCAAAAAAAATAACATTACTGACCTTTTTTTATTTGAAGACTGATTTTAAATAATTAAATTTTTACCCCTCCTTACAAAAAAAAAATAGTTCCAGAACCCCTGAGAATAGCTATAGACATAAATTATAAAAATAATTTCAATTCAAAGATAAAAAAATAAATAACCTTACCAATAGTTAGAAAATCAATTTTCTTTGAGATAAATCTTAAAATTATAATTTTTAGTTTAGGTACTAATATTTACTTGACATTTGTTAGAACGGGTAGTACAGTATTCCATAATTGATCGGTTATATGCGGCATGCCTGCCAAAGATAAACCTTGTAATTGATGGCCATGACGAGAGAGAAATTTATAAAGCCCTTCATCGGTCAAATTATCCGAATAGTCAAGATTTAATGCAATCAAACTCCTGGCATTTCCCTGTTCCATAAAAGTATTTAATACTGCATCATTGAAACCATTTATTTGGCCCGCGCTAAGAAACCTTAAATTGGGTATTCTAACTAACATATCAATCAAACATTCAGTTGACAAATCTGTAGCACTTATGTCTAGTTCTTGAATTGATGATCTTTCCCAGTCTACTTGCATAACGTACTCGCTAATCAAATCTATATAAATAAACAATTTAAAATAATTATTTATTTTTCAACGTTATAGATTTTTTAAAAAAAATAATATAATTTAAAATATCTTTACTTGTCTGATTCATAAGAAGACAGCGAAGTCTTTTACTTCTCTGAAACAATGTTTTCATCGTAGAGCCAGTTACTTTAGCACAATAGTTAACAGCTAGACATTCTAACTGAATACAATTTGAACTGAAAGCGTCTATATGACTATCATCTACAAAGTTAATGCCATATAAGTTTATTACTCGTAAATTAGGAGTGGCTGACTTAAGTTTATGAACATTAATGACTTCATAGATCTCTTCTTCTTCTTCTTCGACTTTTTCATAAGTTCCTATTGATATGTAGTAATTTAATTAACAAATCAAAGATACTGTCTAAAATCGATAAAGTACAATTTAACACACCTATTAAATGCAATATTTCCAATCCGTTTATAAAATTATAAATTTTTCTCATAAAACCTTCCATAAAAATAACTTCTGAAAGACAAACGCAAAGATACTTTAATTTAGTCGGGAATGCTTGAAGTTCACTAAAATCGTGTAGTTGCATAGCAGTAGAGAAATCGAGCAACATGTGTGTTAGGTTTGGACATCTGTTAGCCAACTCATGTAATACTGTATGTGTAATGAGTTCGATAGGTAGTTCGATGTAACGTAATGAAGATCCAAATCTAACACTGTTCACAAATATTTAAAAACGTTTTTATATTTTTTCCAGATAATTTTTTTAATGAATATAAATTAAAAGTTTATATACCTTATAAGAGATAGAAGAAAATCTAAAGAAGTAACATGCAATCCTGAAATTTCTGGTCTCAATGACACACTATGCCATAGGGTCGTGTTATATGCAATTGTACGCCATTTCCTACATACTCGAGCCATACTGCATATTTGTTTGTGACTTAAGTAAGAAAATATGTTAAGTAAAACCTTGTCCGGTAATTTCTCAATGGTCTATAATAAAAATGTTGCAGATTTTCGAAAATAATCATTTTTATAAAAAAAAGTAAATATAGTTATTTATGCAATAAATGAAAAATTATAATATTTTACCTTGTAGTTTAAGTATATAATATCTTAGAATAAGTGATATATTACATATAATCAATAATTATTGATTACCTATTATAATTATTGATTATATTGATTAATTATAATTCGTCATCAAGAAGTAATAAAACACACGTCTAGATCCCCCGATTGAACAAAAGAAGCTAATAAATGATATCATTATAATGAAAATAATAAAAAGTAGATGACTAGAAATAATAATTAGACTTTAAACTAAAAAAATGAAAAACAGGAAAAACTTACTACTCATAAGTTAACTATTACTCAAGTATTCTTGTTTATTTTACAAATATATTATAAATTATCGTTGTTTTCATTACTTGCTCACCTTCAATAGTTTTAATATTATATTGGTTACACTATATGATTACATCAAACTACTTTACTAAAATACTACTTAATTATCATTTTTTTCTTCTTCTTCTCCCAATTCCAACTATTTGTAATTGTCCACCCGTATCCTAATCTTCCACTCGATATCATAACAAATATAATTAAAGTAAAAATAGAAATTATGCGAAATTAAACAAATAATTTTTATGAAATTTTTTATGTATCAAATGATGTATGAAATTTTTATAAATCTACTCAAAACCTGAATACATTTTTGTTAAGCTGTGAAAATTTTTTTCTATATAAAGTTAATGAGAAGATATTATTGAATTCTTTAAGAAATTATATCATAATGTATATTTAATTAGTCGGAAACTAAAAATGAAACGGTTAAATAAAAAAATCACAATTGAGCAGAAACTGTTTAGAATTCATAAACGAGAAAATTGTATATGATGCTATTTCTAAGTGAAAGTACTGACACTGTGAGTGTTTACTATTTACATTAGACACATTGAACCTCAAATCTAAAAATTTCAAAATAGTACAAACTAATTTTGTGCATTTATTTTATATATATTTTATATATATTACATTTATTTTCAAAATTTGACTACTGACATTTATATGATATAAAATATTTGTTGAATCATGTCTATATATATATATGGTGTTCAGTATGTAAGGTAATGGGTTTCTATTGTTCCCATTGTTTGTTAAAATTGACCTGTTTCCATACATGTTCACTTACTGAACGTCTGTATGTGTTTTTGAGGTAAAATATTTAAACCCAATTTTGATTTTTTAGTTGATACGGGAAGGTGAGACAAGTTGACACAGTTAATCTTTAATTGAATCTCTTCGAATATTAAGAATATTTTTACAAAAAAAACTTGAAATTTGATAGAAATACTACTTGATATATTAAGACCAAAAAGTAAAAGCTCATTAATTAATATTAATTCTTCTTCTTCCTCGCCTTAATCCCAACTACTTGGGGTTGGCCAATTTATTAATGTTAATTATTTTAAGAATTATTAATTCACTTGAGAAAATAGCCATATTGTTATCTTGCCCCTGGAGTGTAGCATATGTTTTTTTAATGGGACAAGTTGAAATATTTTAGCTTAATTTAAGTTATGTTTAACAAATGTGTAATATATGTATTTTCATTTCATATACAAATAAAGAAAAAATCATTTCTCCGTTTTATTTTTATTTAAAAACCTCTCTAGTACTCCCATATTTAAATAAGAGTTATAATTTAAAACACTTAATATTCATAATACTTTTCTTTAACTAAAAACTATGTATTTGTTTATGTACGTTCAAATTAAAACCTTAAATTGTAAGAAAAAAATATAATATTTTTGCAAAAAAGGTATAAGTGGAATTTAAAACAAATATATGTTTAATCCTCCTAAATCAAAAAACAAATCTAACATATTGTTTACTTGAATGGTTTCCAAATAAAAAGGTCAACAAATATACAAGCTATTGTTGAATTTATGTAGTATTCGTATTACTTATTTTAATAATTATTCAAATTTCTGGTTTTTTTTTTTAATAAAAACTACATGCTTTGATGCAAGTATGAATTACAAAATTAAAAAAATTATTTATAAGATTTACTTTTTAAGTTGTATCCAAATTAACTTTAATACTAGTTTAAAAGGTAGAAAACAAAATATTTATCAATGACTAAATATTATTTTACATCTCTATATAAATTGTTTGGCAAGGGTTATAGAATTTGAGCTTCAGTATTTTTAGTAAAGATTCTTGTTTTATTTTTGCATTTAACTAAACTATAGGTAAGAAGAATGTGATGGTTAATGAAAACGACTCAAAACGAACATAACATTCAATTCAGATCAATGCTCATCTTACCGTTCCGGCGTATGGGCTTTTGACTGGTCCTCCTGTACCATCATCAATGTATACCTGAGAAGCCTCTAATGCTAGTTGTCCCCAAACCTACGATGTGACCAAAATAATCAATACATATTAAAATGTAAACATTTTCTATTGACCAGAAATCATATCAAACGATTTTATGTTATACTAACATCTGATGATATATCCATTATTGTCGTTTCCGAATAGATTTTTAATAAAAATTATGTAGAAGTAGAAACAACCCAATAAGTAGAACAATACCTCGCTATATAATCAAGAGATTATAATCAAAAACAAAAGAAACGATGTCGTTTCATAATTAAGCGAAAAGCAACCCGAACCGAACTATATGCGGGTCGTGTTGCGATAGACTAATAAAGTTATTTTTAAGGCCTAACCCATACGCCAACAGTTTTCTCGGTGTAAACCTCTTATTTTTATGCTGCAACATATACTATTAATATAACACACACGCCCATTGCCAATGAGGGTCACAGTAAAGTTTATAAGTATATTAAAAATTCAAAAAAACAGTTTTGTAATAAACATTGTAGTGTATTTTACTCACAGTTTTTGCTCCTCGAACTGACCCTCGTGTTTCTCTTGATAAGACGTTGGCTGTCACGTCTACAGCCAACCACGAATCCATTTTTAATTAAATATCAAACGTCTATGGTCACTAAATCAAGTCATCGAGTTTTTCTAAAAAAATAATAAGTTGTTCACAAAATAAATGGTACCTATTGACTGAGTTCCAATAAATGAAGTCGGACTAATATATTCCAAACAGTCGAGAGTTCGAAATACCGAATGAAATCAAACAATTGAAACTAACCTATTAACCATATTAGTTGGGGGTTGTCTGAAAATAGACTATACACGCGAGCTCCTGTAAAATACTATTAATAATATATGTACATGAAAGTACTGTATTAGTAAGCGCCAATAACCGTCCAGGAAATTCATTAGAATAAGTACATCATGCCAAAAAATCAACTCATTGCATTATTTAATCAATAGAAAATAAAATTTAATTTGACATAATGTCTCTAAATTACTTTAATGAATTTCACTTCTGTCATAACAGTATTAAAAATACAGTGTAATTTCCTTATATGTCATGAAAATTGTATAATATAGTTTTAACATAAATTTTTCAATAAAAAAATATAACATTTTCCGTATTACTATTATATGTATTACATTGTTCAGTCATATCATAATCAATCATTTTGATTTTGTAACAATTGTATCCAGTAGACACCAGAGTTAAAAAATTGAAAGACATCTCATTTTTTATAATTCTTCGAAGTATAAATTAAGATTATCAACTATTCCAGAATCAATCACAATTTGAGTGTAATAAATTAAAATTCGCTATTTAAGTATGATTTCATATTGTGATACATACAATGTTCTATTGGCACCGAATTATGACTTCTACAGCAATAATATTCATTTTAATATTAATTATTATTAGTCCTCCAAGACCTCTTTATGAATAAAAATGATTTTCGCCGCACATATTTATATTTGATTTCTACTATAGGCAACATAACTAACTTCAATTATCTATATTTTTTTCGATTATCTGTATTTCTTTTAATTATTATTAGAATGAATAGTGAAAAGAATAAAGATATTTAAAAAATGACATTTTGACAATTAAATCATCAGTTCATTTTTGTAGTGTAACTGTTCAACATATTGCAATTACAATTAGTAGTTATAACGAAAAATACAATCATGTTATAAATTATAATAGCTGTAAATTAATGAATAACAAGTGTATTAGTATAAGTATGGATGTATGAATTGTTCAAAATGTTTTACATATTTTCAGTATTAAATAAAACAAGTGTCATTGTACATTGACTGCTCATATCAATTACGATAAAATAATCATGCTACTTCATATCGCAAAACGTGCTACTTTTAATAGCTGTATTTATTTATTGATATTATTTTCATAACAACTTATTACAGATAACCAAGCTCATGTCTAGAAGGGAGGTCCTTGAATTTAACTCCTTCCACTAAATTAGAATTCTGGGCGTTATACTCATAATAGCTTGTAGACTTTAAAGTAAAAAATATAGTTGTATAACATAACACAGAAATAAAAAAAATAACATAACTAATTAATCAGATAATTCTGTAAAATTTCATGTTTTCTTATAAAGAAAACTAATTTTTTAAAAGATAGTATAAACTAATTTTATTTCTATACTTTCGACAATTATCTTAATTAATTTTAAAAATACATTATTTTTCGAAGCTGGACATTAAATACGCTAAAAGTTAAAGTTAAAGCAATAAGTTAATTTTAAGAAGTTAAGAAACTTATAACTCTTTTAGTGTTATAATTTTTAATTCTGTAGTTTATATTCAAAAGTTGATATGTCACAATAATAGTTTTTTATCATTTATATAGAGAAGGATATTATTTTAAGAAGTGCAAAAAATAAATTTTATTAGGAAATTTTGTTGTTTTGTAATTTAAAAGTATTAATTTCCGTTTATCTTCACTGAAATTTTTTTATTTGTTTTTGCTCTCCTAAAAAATTGTAAAAAGTAACATGTCGACTTTTAAAATTAAACCATAAAATTTAAATAATTATTTTAATTCTAAATTTATAAATGTAATAATTCTAAAAGGTATTACAAACTCTAAATACGCTAAAAAATTTTGAAGGTCTGGAGAGAATAATATTATCCTACTGAATTTGCACCTATGGTTTCTATCATACAAATAGCAAAAAATGAACAGTTTTCCTAAAAAATGTAATATATCCATCTCTCTAATTTTTACAGAAGGACTTATGTTTCACATTTAATTTAAAGAACTTATGGCTATTTCGTTACAGGAGGCAATAAAAAACTTTTATAATAAAAAAATTCGTAGGAGCTGTACCCCATTCTCTAGAGTTTTTTTATTAACTATTTCAAGGTATTACTGAAAACTAGTGATGGGCATTTTCGAATAACTATTCGAATTGTGTTTATACAACCGAAAAGTTTATTTTTAGCATTAACTATCGAATATTTTTTAAAACTATTCGGATATATTGTGTAACTATCGAATATTTTTACTATTCGAATATTTTTTGAATGACTATTGAATAGTTCGATAGTTACTATTTGATATTTCCCATCACTACTGAAAACTATTGGATATACATTAATGACTTCATTCTAATTTAGTCTATTTCAAACCATTATTCATTCCTTTAAATATTGGTTGAAAGAATTTAATATTTTGTAAGTGAAAAAATGGATTACTTAAATAAACACTAATTAATAAATATAAAAAATATTAAGTTTTATTTTCATGTTAGTGGCCATTTAATGCTTTTCATATTAAATATAAACTCACATTAAAATAAAAAACCCAGCACAGTGGAGTCGCGGCATAGTGGGGACGTTGCATAGTTGGGTCCAGTATAGATTTAATCTGACAGTGATTAAAATCACTATCATAAGAAACGATTCGATGCAAATCAGTAGATAGTGTTTAATTCTAAGAAATTGGTGGATAATTACAAAAGCTACATTATCTGCTAGTTTCTTATTAATACCCTGATTAAGATAAAGTATGTCGAATGAAAAAGGGATTATTAAAAAATATTATTTCTCATAAAAAAATTGTGTTGATTCGTACACTTTTCAATGAGTTATAGCATTATAAAGTTAAAAATGTAACCAACCCAACCCAACATCAACTCCTATTTCCTTAATTATATCCAGATTAGTAATTATTTTAATTATATATTATATAATTTTTATAATTAATTATTTTCAAATTATTATTGATTTTTAATATGTTAAAAGTAATCATTTTGAACCTACTTCTTTTTGTTCTTTAAAGTGAAAGTTTTAATAAAAAAAAAATGAATTTATTACCATAACTTTTAACTCAACTTGCAAGTTTGAAATAAATATTATTAAATAGAAAAAAATGAAATTGGTAGATTATTTCAAAAACAACAATAACACTTATTCCCTTAATTTTACCCCGATTTATAACTATAATATATGAATACATAATAATTACAGTAATTAAATTGAGTATGAAAGTGGTATTCAATAATATAATATTGTAATTTTTACGGAGATATTATAAAAATAAAAAGGAGTTGTATATTCATATACTTTTAATGCGTATACAAATTTAAAGGAATTTATGCAATACTTTTTAATAAAAAAATTTTGTTACTTATGAATAAATACACTAAACAAAAGGAACTTTCATCAGAAAAAAAATATACTTTTCTAAATAAACTTTTCGTGATGTTTTCAAATGTGCAATTAAACTTTTTCTATTACTTCTAAGTTTTAATATTATTACTTATTATTAAAAAATAAGTATTTACATATAAAAAAAAATAATTAAGAACAAAAAAAATTGTATTAAATTAATACTGATTTTGATTTTTAATATGTTAAAGGTAATCATTTTGAACCTATTTTTTATTGTCTTTTAAAGTGAAAGTTTTAATGAAAAATACCTTCTCAGCTTCGCATCGAAGCTAAAAAATGAATTTGTTACCATAACTTATAGTTCAACTTGCAAGTTTGAAATTGACATTATTAAATTGAAAAAAATGAAATTTTTAAGATTAATATGCAATCTGGAAATTTTATAATTACTAATTACAGTACATTTGTCAGAAAAATTCGATTTTTTTACATTTTTATCGTAATAGATAACTGAAATAGAAAGAATAGTAATCATATCCTAATAACTTTTGGTGTTTAAAAAAATTCTGCAATTGAAATATTCAGAACTTAATTAATTTTAATAATTTACTTTAATTAAATGAACCAATCAAACCAAAGTAGTTAAAAAGATTTACTCAATTGAGCATATTATCAAAAATATAATTATAATTGTAAAACTCCATCGTTAACTTCAGGTGAAACTAAAAATCATTTTTTTTTTAAATTTATGATTTATATAGCAACATATTACTAAAAAATTTGGCATATTATAGACTGGTAGTAGCACACAGAAATAGAGTTAAAAAATTAATAAATTATAAAGTAAAATTATTTACTTTTGTAGTTGAATACTTTTATCATATCAAATTTAATTCGACAATAAATAATTTAAGAATATTAAAAATTAATGATTTTAATTGTTTGTATGGACAAATCTAGTTAAGCTACTTTTTATTTGAATAAGGAATATTTTTTTGATTTTTAAGAGTAATAACTTAAACTAATCATTAACTTAAATATCATAAACTTAAATGAATCATTTGACGTATCGTTGAAAAAAGTAGGTCTAGTGAGGGTTGGCAAAATAAATCGTAGCCAGAAAAAGAACCACATAGTAAAATAATATTAACATGAATATCAATTTCTTCTCACGAGGGGAGACTATAGTGATAAGATCCTTTATATTTATTGAAATTATTGAATCTAAATGAGATAAATATCAAATGATTTGAAAATTCTAATATAACTCAAAAAAAAATTGCAGAATTTTAGAAGTTACAGACGGATTTGAACCTCGTACTCTAGGCGTGAGAGATCAAGATGTTACCCATTCGGCAACTGTTCGTTGCTTTTTAATACATGATAAAATTGGCTATTTAAGCTAACTCAAATTTAAAAATTACTTTTTCGACTTTAAAAAAGTAAAAAAATTTTAATAAGTATAATTTCATATGTCTTATGAACTTTATTCTATGTCAATGATATTATATAATATTCATGAAAGTCAGTTTATTCCCCTAATAAAATATTTTAAAATAAAATAAAATACAAAACCTAGAATTTTAATAAAAAATAGCATACTTTGAATACGGTAGCCTTTTGCGCATAGAAGATAGGTCATCGGGAAAAATTTTTTTTTTTTCATTTAGTAGTACATAAAATAAGCTTTAATTTGATATATGTTTAAAGGACGCAGTATTTCCGGAACATTTTCAAAAATTAAGTTGAAAAAGTTAGTTTTTGTAAAAAAGTTGCTATTTTAAATCCCCCCTGTGAGCAGAATAAGTGTTAGATTTTCAAAAAAAAATGATATCAAATGAAAGGAAATTACCTAAGGTTTCAATATAAAGAAATATTATTTTTATTAGTTAATATTTGAAAAAGTTACGGGAGTTTTAAGTACAAAAAACATTCCGATAGAAGGTGATTTTTATCATAAAGATTACATTTTTTTTTTAATTTCGACAGCCATTTGCACATAGAAGATATGGTGTCGGGACAAATTTTTTTTTTCATTTTATAATACATGAAATAAGCTATAATTTGATATATGTTTAAAGGACGCTGTATTTCCGGAACATTTTCAAAAGTTCAGTTGAAAAAGTTCTATTTTTTATACAATGTTTCAAAGTTTGAACCCCCCCTATATAAGGGGAAATTGTCTAATTTTAATAAAAAGTATGTCAAATGGAAGATGTACTTATAATGTATTTAGAAAAAAAAAAATTGTGCTGATACATGCATTTTTCGAAAAGTTATAGCATTTTTAAGTTGAAAATTAAAAATTGAAAATCGAAAATTTTAACACAAAAATAGTGTTTTTTTAACTACGGCAACTGTTTACATGCAGAAGATAAAGTGTCGGGACAAATTTTTTTTTTTCATTTTATAGTACATAAAATAAGCTTTAATTTGATATATGTTTAAAGGACGCAGTATTTCCGGAACATTTTCAAAAATTAAGTTGAAAAAGTTAGTTTTTGTAAAAAAGTTGCAATTTTAAATCCCTCCCATGAGCAAGTTAAGTGCTAAATTTTTAAAAAAATTATATCAAATGAAAGGAAAATATCTAAGGTTTTAGTTTAAAAAAAAATTATGTTGATTTGTTAATTTTTGAAAAAGTTATGGAAGTTTTAAGAAAAAAAAGTGAAAAAAATGACAAAATTTGTCGATTTTTAAATTTGTAATTTTTTTGGATATTTCCCCCATTTGCGGGGAACGAGGGAAAATTTTTAAATTTTTAAGGGTAATGTCTTCAACTAGATACAATTTGTGATCTTTTGACGTATTGTTAAAAGAAATCGGTCCAGTGAGAGCTGAGAAAAAGTAGTGACAGACACAAAAAAAAAAAATAAAAAAATAAACACATCATGGTAAAATTAATACCTTCTCAGCTTCGCATCGAAGCTAAAAAATGTTGAAAAAAGTATTTAAATAAATTAAGAGTATATATTGTATTCTTAAATATATCTTAGCAAATATATTTGAAATGTATTCTAAACACTTACGATGTGACAGTATTTTTATCTCTATTTAGATACAATTTTAAATGTATTTTTTATATCACTACCCCGAATTTTCCTCACGATTGACAATTACTGGCCCAAGGTATTAGATCAAAAAAAAAGTCTCAAATTTCACGATACCTATTTTTTTTGCTACACTCTATATACTGTTTGTAAATACTTTCAAGGTTAAATATTTGTGCATCAAAACTTTTTAATAATCCATAATTAATATTTTAATACTAAATTTTAATTAAATAACATAGATATTTTAAATTTTGATGCATGTTGTTTGTTGCTTGTCAAACTACAAGTTACTCTCAATTGATAATATTAATTAATAACCAAAGTTATTAATGTAATGTTCACATGAGAGACTTTAAATAATTTTATTATAGAAGTTTAATCAAAAATAATATTTAACTTTTTACTCGAAACACATTTGTGTGAAAATAAAAAACTCTAGTCTTAAGTATTTTAAAAATTAAAAATGATTTCATGACTGATAAAATAGCTTTTGCTACATTGTTATTTAATTCAATAATTACTAGTGACGTATTCATTGAACGATTTTACTGAACGTGACCATTTACTCGTTTCAATACTTCAAAAGTGGTACTTACTAACATCACTTGTATTTTATCTTAAAAGTTGTTTAATAAGCAGTTTTTTGTTTACTAGACTACTTGAATTAATAAATAATATTATATTTTTTATAATTGTATTTTAAAGTACAAGGTTCAAAGCCCTTGTGATGTTTGCTAATAATGTAAAATAACCTAAAGATAATAATAATGAAATTAAAATTTTTCAACGCCAGTATATTTAAATTCATTTTGAAAAAAATATAATCAAGCACCAATTCTTTTAATTTTTTTAAAGTAATTGCTGCATTATAAAAGAAGATTGATAAGCTCATACTACATAATCCACTTAAAAACTGCAATAACTTAAAAATTCTAAATTACTAAATATAAATAATTATATATTTTTCAATTTTTCTAGTTTGATTACATGAACAAAGCTAAATTATTCTTTATAAGATATGGTATTTCTATTTATAATTTTCACGTGGATTTTCTTTCTAATCTTTATATCGAACACAAAGTTTTTGCAGTCAAGAATTAGGTAGTCATCATCTACTATTACTTGATAATATGGCCTTTTTTTAAGCGTGTCAAGTGAGTATAATTCGGAAAGATTTTATAACAATGCAATTGTGTCTGTCACAAAAGTGACATTTACTTATTAAAAAATCCATTAAATTATAAAAAAAATAAATAACAAAATGCTATTTGAATAGTTTCATTAAGTTTTTGAAAGGATTATCTTGAAACTTTCTCTTTTTTCATTTCAAAACTGAGATAACTTCAAGAATATTTATTTAATTAAAAACCATTATATATTTTTAAATTAATTAATGTTATATATGTTTTGAATTATAAACCATTCATAATATGTAAATGATCGTCAGTAATTAAAAACATGCATTTTATTGAATCTTATATTGTCATAACTACGCTTTCTAATTATTGATAACGTAGTAAATAATACGCTAATTTATGCAGCTATTAACAATACACTAATGCAATTCAATCTTATCTTTTTTATGTAAATAAAAAATAACAACAATATTATATCAATTTTTCTATTTATAAGGCAGCCAATGTAGATAAATGAAATATATAGGCTGATAAGTACATTGTCTGTTGTAAACAAATAAATGAAATTAGTAGTAACTAATCTGATAAAATATGTTCAATAACATAATTTTAACAAAAGAAAATTAACCAATCCCTCATCTTGAAGCTCACTTGACCTGTTTTCAAAATCCTCCCTTCAAGAACTGTCTAGGAAATATTTAGTTCACTATTTAAAGAAATAAAGAGCTTGGAAAATTACTTTAAGGCAGATCTTTTAAATATGAAATATTAGGATTATGACGTATTAAAAATGAATTACATAAAGCTATAAGATGGCCGTCTATATATTGCAACAAATTGATTACCATATTTAAACTTTTACATGTTACACTTTTCTATTGATTTATAAACATGTGTAGTAGAAACAGGGTCACTGAAATCGTGAGTCAGAAGGAAATTGTTTTCAGTCAAAATGTGGAAAGGCAATAGTATCATTTGTACCCCGTCCAATTAAATCAAGCAAAAAAAAATATTAATAAAGATTTGTGTAAAGTTCAACAAATTTTCTTTAATATTTTATGTTATTTACGACATAATTGTATCTATAATTTACCTTGTCTATGCAATTTACATTTTAAATTATCAACTTCTTAGCCTCTATCTCACCTATTTGGGGTCGTCTCTACCCTACAATGGTTTGATAGAATTTTTACACCAGCTGCTGACTTGACGCAACCTCATTATAGCTGAAGGAGTTAGCAAGTAAAGATGGACTTTTATTAAGTTATATAGTTTAAAATGAAAATTACTTTAATGACAAAATAAATTTTTTTGATAGAATTTGATTACGGCGGGAGGTAGAGCCCCAATATCCTCTCGGTTAGGCTACTGGCATATTTAAATTAAATTTTTGTGACACAGATTTCAATATTAAATACTGATTAGTTAATGTAGAAATCTGTGCCTCACGGCGAGAGATGTAGGAAAAAAAATTATCAGTTAAAATAAATTTTCTGTTAGAATGTTTAACTAGGAAAATATTATGACATATTAAGTATAATAGAGCAGAGTTTCTCAAAGTGTGGTCCGCGGACCCCCAGGGGTCCGCGAGCCCATATCAGGGTTAGGTCTTTAAAACTGTAGGTCTTTAGAGGGGGGTCCGTGATTCATTTGACTTTGAGAACCTCTGTAATAGAGGATTAATGCCAAGTAAAAACAAGTAGATAGCCAAAGGGCGCTTGGACTCCCTCGAATTTAAAATTTAATTATTTTTGTCGAGTATTAAAAACAAATTAGGTCTATGCACTTTTCAATTAATCATAACTAATTAACTTAATTATAGTAGAATTTCAAATAAAATATAAATATTTGTTCTATTCCAACAGCTTTAAAAAAAGCAAACCTGCACTGACTAGGAATACAAAAAACAAGAGCGGAATTTTAATATTAACATTAATTAGAAAGTTTTTTTAAATCTAATATTGTAATAAAAAAAAATAATAATGTTGCAAATTTTTATATAAATTTTCTGATGATATGTATCTAGACAATTTCCACAAATATGACTTATTTTATGAGTGTCTCAAATAATTTCTAATAGATAACATGAACTATAATTGTGCGAGTCTGATGGAAACAAAAATTATATTATTTCTATCAGCATATTATATGAAAAAAGGGTAAACCTACTTATTGCTTCTACGCATTCGTAACTGCTTGATGTTAATAAGAAACTTATTTATTAAGATAATTTGTATTGTAATGCCAGCCATAAATAATTTGTGCTTAGAAAATTTCTCCTCCGCATTCATCATTGGCCTGTGACCTGATAATTATCAATGAAGCATAGAGCCGTTTTTTTGTTAAGAGTGTTCCTGAGTCAAAATCCTCTAACTCATAGCTCTAGGGGAAACAAGGTAATGGGTTATTTAAAAAAAAGGAACGAGGATCTAGAACAAATTCCTATTTAGAAAGTGAACGAGGAACGGAACGATTTCCGTTTAAAAATGAATCTTCCTAACACTGTTTATTTAAAAATTCGTAGTAAAATAAAGACATTTTTTATTACCCTCTCCAATCAAAATTTTCAAAACACTCCCATGTATATTTTGTGAAAACATGTCACTGATGCTGCGAGTATTGAAAAAGTACATACGTTTAACTACGATGATAATTATTTGAAGTGTATTTCGTTATCATATTGGTCTAAACTACATATCATTTCGCCTAAGGCTCGACTGGTTTTTTTGTTTGTATATTCTTCATTGTACAAATCATCGTCCACTAGATAGAGTGTTAAATGTGACATTATTCTTTGTAGTTGTAAAAAAGAGCTACCGATGGCGCGATTTTGTTTGTTATTTCCTGTACTCCCATACGATATTCTCACGTTGATTGCGACGCGACCTTGGCGCCTATCACAACCGCACTACGGCGCACTCAGTATTACACTTCTTTTGATATATGTTAAACTGAAATCTTTTGTTCGGTACAACTGACACAAGCAAAAAAACATTGTTGTAACACCCGGCTAATCCACTTGATCAACTGTACGTACTTTCCGAACTAATTGAGTGTATCGAATGAGATGCCAACTTATATTGAAAGACATTTTAATTCACTCGGAGCTATCAAGTTTAAGTGCTCTATCTCAAGATAACTGCGAAATATCACAATCGAGTAAAGAAAAAAATTATTTTATCTTAAATTATTTTCGAATCAAAAGTACTGAGTATTAATAAGCAGTTACAAACTTTTTAATAGAGTGTGTATTAAATTCAATTATAACAAAAATGAAATATATATCACATTTACTATTTGTTTTATAGATTACTAATGTTAAATTATGAATATTTTTTTTTAATTTTAGGTGAAGTGAGTAGATAAAAAAACAACTTTGTTGTCATTAAGATTGCTGTGCGGTGTTAGAAGCATTCATAGCAATCTTAAATGTACATTCATTAGTGCAAGTTAATGATTTAATATACATAATTGAAATTAGTATCATGAGTGTATTATACATGAAGACAAGTCCTGTAGCTTATGATATTCAAAACTCAACAATATTTGGCCACGGATGGATTGATACTTTAGAATTGGGCACAATGGAAATGAAAATAGCAGAAATGTTATCTGCTCACTATCAAACAGTTATTATGTCCATGATCGGTTCCATAGTTGTGGGGCTTAGTGGATTATTTCCTTTACTCGTTTTACCTGTTGATGATACAATCTCATTGAAAACAGGATGTGAGTATACTACACTTTATTAAAATAAAAAGTGTGAAAATACTTTTTTGTTAAGGTGTTATGCTAGGCGGTAATCTACCACAATTAAACTTAATGAAATAATTTCTTCTTTATTCATTTATATATACTTTATTTTATTTTTAGATGGTAAAATTCATTGTTATATTTATAACAATTTACAAAATTAAGGTTAATATCAATATAGAAATGTACCATTTTTTATTGTACTTATATTATGTTCCTTTAAATTAATAGATCAATTCTTGTTTTACTAATTGTTATTTCATATAAAAACTAACTTTGTGTACCCTTCAGTTTAAACTGAAATATTGATTTTATATAGATAATAAAAGTTTTGTGATAGAAATTTGGATTGTTCTCTATAAATAATTTTTAAACATTTATGACATGATACCCATATTTGGCCTTGAAGTTATCTATTGTGCGTACTGATTCGTTGTACCATTTAAGATATACTTTTAGTTTTATATATCCTGTTTAAGTTATTTACCAATGTCTGTTATTGTATTCTTCAGTTATATATAAATATAACATATAACATATAAATGTTATAATTTATATGGTTCAATAACTTGTATGATTTTGAACTTAATATTCTTTTAATAAATGTGTTCAACAAATTTTAGTTAATTTATTTTTAGTATACAATAAAAACAATAAATTAAATAATTATTCTGATAAAACAATATAAAAAAAAATGATTAAGTAAAATGTAAGCATGTGTCATAATGTTGAAACTAGAACTACATCAGTCATACAGCTAATATAATTGCCAATTTAGATGTCATAACAGGTTCACTTTTTATTCTTTACTTTATTTAAAAATTTAAATCTATTTACATAATAAAAGGGTTTAAAAATCATTGATTATAGAATATTTACATTATTTTTATTGTGCTCGAATATTTTATACCAAGTTGTTATACGTTTTATCAATTTTGTTAATTTTTTCCATTAGTTTAGATACACCTAAATTAGTTACATTAAATGTATACACATATCAATATAACAACTGTGTTTACACATCAAAGTGTATACATACAATTTTAAATAATTATATTTGTTTTAGTTATAGTAAAACCATTTAAAAAAATCTATTGAAAAAAATTGGTTGAAATCTACTAAAATGTATATTCATATTTTCTTTCAAATTATTTTATAAATAAAATAATTTTAAGAGTTGATCAATTTTTACTTCTGAAGCTGAATGAGATTTTATTATATTTCTAATCCAGTAATAATATATTATTTTTTAATAATATAATAGTTTAATTTATCTCAACTAGACTTTTGCATAACATTTATGAGAATAAAATTTTTGTGTTATTATTTTTAGCTGGAAAAAAAAATTTGCGGCTTTTATTAAGTTTCTCTGTTGGAGGAATGCTTGGCGATGTGTTTTTGCATGTGTTACCTGAAGTCTGGAGTGATGTTTCTAATAAAAGTATGTCTAGTTATTTAATTAAAAGTGAATTACTAGAAAATTATTATTTTATTCAATTAAATTTCTAGATAAATATAAAGATTGGAGCCATGATGGTTGGTGGGTATTAATTGGTTTATTAGTTTTCATTGTTGCTGAGAAGTTATTTTCACTATCAGATGATGAAGCTGATGACAATAATGATGATACTATTATTATCAATAATTCTGTAGCTATCACAAATGTCAACAACAATCATAAAGATCTTGCTTCAATAGAGAAGCTTAATAATAAATTAGTTGAAAAAGAAAAACAGATTATCAAAGTATATAATTAAATTTTTTGTTTGCAAATAAATTGTATGTAATAATGATAGTATAGTTTTATTCTCTTTGATTTTGTTAGATAAGTGGATACCTTAATTTACTAGCCAATTGTATAGATAATTTTACTCATGGTTTGGCATTAGGTGGAAGTTTTTTAATATCTCCCCGTGTTGGTCTTTTTACTACTCTGGCAATACTTGGTGACTATAATACTATCTTATTATTTTTTAATTATTCTTATAAATTTATTTATTTTAGTGCATGAAATTCCTCATGAAGTTGGAGACTTTGCGATTTTATTAAAATCTGGATTTACTCGATGGCAAGCAGCATGTGCCCAAACATACACTGCTTCTGCAGGTATGTTAGGTGCTTTAACAGCTATTTATTGCAGTGGAATATCTGATGATGTTGGTAAGTTGAATATATTATAATAACAAAACAAATAATAAATGTAGATCAAAATAATTATTTTTAGATGACATAATAAAAGAAAGTGATCAATGATTATCACTTTTCGAATATGTTATAATCTCAATTCAGAATCTTTCTAGAACTGATTATATTCGTCACATTAGACTTCCAGCCCAAAAATATTAATTTAAAATATCTTAATTTTATTTTCAAATCTCTATCCTTAATTAAAAAAAAAAGATTTTAACATACTATCTTCAATTATCTATTTTCAATAGATAGATTTCTTTATTTATCTTAGTTCATAGCCTTGATACCCATATTAATACTATGATCTCTTCGAAGCTTATCATTTATTTTTATTTTGTCCCTGTACAAATCAACTTGCCATTGATCATTAAACATTTCATAAGCAACTTTATCATGTTTAAACATTTTAAAAATTTTATTTATTCCATTAATGTTAAAAAAAGTACACCTGATAAGCTTTAAATTTGTATAAAAAATAATGTATTTTAAATTTTTACTTAATTTTTCAGAGGCTAAAACATCATGGATTATGCCTTTTACAGCTGGTGGTTTTTTACATATATCACTAGTGACAGTTTTACCTGAACTAGTAACTGAAGAAAATGTGAAAGAATCTATTAAACAGTTTACATTAATAATTTTTGGAATATGTGTAATGTTTGTTATGTCTAGTCTGTTTGAATAATGACCAAAATAATGTATTTTATTTATCTTCTCCCATCATCCCACTTAAAAGACTATAATAATTTTATTGTATTATCACACTGAAGGTATCACTATAAATTCTATTAAGTTATTGTTTTAATTATAATTTGTTTTTTATTAATTATGAAGACAACTCTAAATAACTCAGAGTGAAAATATTAACTCAAGTTACCATTATAATAAAATGACTTGATTTTTGTTTTTGGCCTTAATATATGTTGATAAATAAATTTATATTTTGGCTGTGCATTGTTTTTAGAATTTTTTTTTAATATTTTATCTATTTTTTTTTTATAGATAGACATACATAATTATTATTAAGCCATATTAGATGACAATTTTTGTTAAAACTGTTGTTTCTACTATAATTAAACTAAAAAAATGTTATATATATATATTGTAAATGTATTTTTTTAAATATTATATTTAGGAATAAAATGGTAGAAAAAATAATTTTTATATGAAATTTTTTTTTTATTTATATATGATATCTATTAATCTTGTAAAACAAACAAAAAAAATATACATATATATATATATATTTACAGATAAAGAAGTGCATCATTATTTTAAGTATTTTATTCACTATCATTATCAGAATCAGTTTCTTCTTCTGCTTCTTTTAACCATTTAACTAGTTTAGATGTTTTTTCTCTAATAGTTTTTCCAAACACTCCATTGCCATCCTTCTCATGCCACTTGAGAATAGATTCTTCACTTAGTATATTTGTCTCATACAAATGATGTATGACTTTTACCACAACCGAATTTAACATTTCTTCACCTTTAGCAGTATCCTCAATAGCTAAAAGACAGTCTTCACAAGAATCAACATTTTTTATATAATTTTTTAGTAATGGCAGAAAATAATTTAACTTTGACTGTAATTGAGCATAATATCTCACTTGATTAAGTGCTTCCAGTTCTACCGCACTATTTAAAGTCAATATAGCCCGTATTACTTGAAAATTAGCTTCTCTGTAGTTAATATTATATGCATAACGTGATGAATTTATTTCTAGTATTAAGTTGTCACAATGAACATGATCTTCAAATCCTCTTATTAATGAATCAACAACTTCAGAATAAAACATGGAAGTATCATCAGGTAAGGATCCAGCAATTGAAACTGAATCTTCATTCTCTGATGATGAATAATTAATCGATAAAGTATGAGTACGATACACTAAACCAGTAACCTCCTCCTCTTCTTCTTCTTCTGAATCATCATGATCATTATATATAAATGCTTTAGCACTTAACATTTCTAGATTATTTCCTATATTGTAACCAATTAACCTTTTTTGTTGTATCATTTTTCTTGGTTCAATAACAACATTTGAACCTAAAATGCATCCATCTGTTATTGAATTGTTTTCACCAATAATACTATTATATCCAATAACAGAAAATTTGATTATACAATTATCCTTTACTTTAGTACCATTAAATAAATAAGAGTTTTCTATAGTGACATTATTACCAATAGTGCAGTTTTTTCCAATAATACTTTTATATATACTAGTCTCTGAACCTAATTTTGAGTTTGAACCTATTACACTGTTTTTATTAATTTTACAAGTCAAGGCCAATTTCAAGTTTTCTCCATAATAAACATTGCCATATCTTAAATTATATTTATCTATGACATCTGGTACTTGTGGGTAACTCCAACGACTTAAAATATCTTGGCTAACATTTTGATATGAAGGCCAATCATAGACTTTATTAACATAGCCTTCATTATTAATATAAGCATAAAGTGTGCTGTTCAAAATTTCTTCATTTATTAATAACCCTTTTATAAAATCATCTAGGGTTTGAAAATCAAAGTTGTCAGCAAATAATGGTGGAACAGCAGTAGAACATATTGCAATATTAGTCTCTAACAAATCTTGTCTTATATCAACACTCTCATTGAGAACTAATTCTACAGGTAAATATAATTTAGTTTTCTTTTTGTTATGAAAAAGGATTCTGTTGGTTTTTGAACTTAAAACTAATGTCTGATCATTGTTAACATTTACTTGTTGATAAATTAAAGTCATCACAGCTCCTTTATCTTTATCCCTCAAATTTTTAAAATTTTTCACTAAAGGCAATAAAGACAATTTACCAACAACATTGCCCTCAAGCAAAATAAAATCATTTCTTATTAAAGCACAGGCATCTATGTGTCTGAGTACATCACCAAGAGATCGACATGTATCTGATGTAGTATATGTTATGTCAAGCAAATGGAAACGTGAATTTTTAACTAGCCCTTTAATGTTATCAGTCTCACTTGAACAAAACAAAATAATATCTTTTATACCTGAAGATTCTAAAAAATCTAATGTATAGTATAATAATGGCTTATTTACTAAAGGTACTAGACAAGAATCTTTATCACATGCTGGCCAGAACTTCTTATGAAAGAAATTAGTCACTACAACAGCTTGCAAAATGTCCTGTTTTTCAACATTGACTTTTGATTTGCTCATTTTAAATATGATGTGTTTATATTTTATATTAGTATTTAGTTCAGTAAACTCGAAAATACATAATAATTAATCTCTAAGAAATTTCGAAAACTAAGATTATGATACCATTTGAACAATAAAATTGATAAAAGTTATCACTTGTTATAGATAATAGAATAAACAATATTGTCATTTTTAAACAGTGTTGTCATTTTTCAACAATATTTGAGGACGTTGAAAAAAACGTGAAAATGTTTTGTGCTACGTTGTCTTTACAATTTTATATCAGTGTTAGCGCTCTCTTGTGGCGTTTCATATTAATTATTTTATCAATATTTTGCAATAGTCAAGTTTATTATTGTGTGGCAAATTGTTATATCATTGTTTTCATTATTTTAAAATTGTTAACTTCTTTACTATTTGTCAATTTTGAAAATGTCAAGCAACGAAGAGAAAGCTATGGCTTTAATGGCTGAAGCTGACAAAAAACTTAATTCGTCCAAAGGATTCTTCTCATCATTATTTGGGTTAGTACTATTATATAAATAATTTTTCTGATATCATTTATTGGACTGACGTATAAATATAAACCTATAGTACATCAATATGACGTATGTGGTTTGTTGAAATATTAATTAACTAGCAATACAAATAAAAATATATTATTTTTAGTTAGAAAATTTATTATCACAAATTTAATATCAATTGATGAATATTTAATATCTAGATGTTATTCTTTTATCTTCTAGATATAAAAAATATTAGGTTGATTATGTTATAATGAACCCAGTAATATTGTTTTTCTAAAATGTAGCTATTTTAGAAATATAATTGCTAAGTTTCAAAAAGTATGTTTTAATAAATAAGCTATTATTTTAAATAAAATAAATTTTGTTTAAAAACTAATTAAATTATACAATTAACCTATTACACTTGATTACATATTTAACAATTTTAAAATATGAGTAGTATAAATGACTAGATAATTTTTAATAAGTAGGTTAAATGTATGGTATCATAGTTTTAATACTTGTTATTACTGTATAAATGAACAATAGATATCAGATTATTTGATATTCTTACCTTTTCAATGTTTGAAAATTTTAAATGCCCGATTTCAGTATGTATATGTCTATGTATCATTTATAACTTACATATTACAATCAATGTAGAATTCTAAGTAATGCGCATATTGACCATGCATTGTAGTACTGCCCAAAATTAACAAGCAATGTAACTGAAGTTCAACTTGAAAATTGAAAAATGTAATTTGTATCATTTCATATTTTTAGATATAGTTGTATACTCTACGTATACTTAACTTTAAAAGTTTTAAAGTCACTAAAAAACAACTACTTATGACAAAGCCTAAAAACTGTTTTGATCTTAAAATAATCTAACTAAAATCATAAACAAAATTTCTATTTCAAATTTTGGTCACTTTTTTTTATTAAGCCATATTACATTATCTGATACTAACACTATTATAATTATATCAATTATTTGCCTATATTGCCCAGTCAAGTAATCCAAATAAGTGAATATTCAACATTGACCAAAATACACGGGCAAAATATATAACACCTGGTTAATGTTTCACATTGCCCATAATTTTACATTGAATGTAACATATGTATTTTCATTATTGTTGTAAATTTCCATTGTTAACCTTTATTTAAATAGAAGAATCCCATAAGAATGTATGTTATCATTTAAGAGAGATTTATATATCCATTATTCATGTATTTACAAATTTATTATTAATGTGTAATTAAAATAAGCAAATAATTCAAATACCTATTCAATTGTCACGTAATATTTGTATAATAAATAAAAAGTTAAAATTGTACAAATATAAAAAAAATAATAAGTTCAAGTTAGAATTATTACTTGAGTAAAAATGAAGTAATTCTACCTAGTTATTCTGTTTATATATTATTGTTTATTATGTTATGTACTTATTTTAAACACTTTTTATTATAAATTTTCAGCAATGTGTCTAAAGTAGAAGACGCTATTGATTGTTACCAACGAGCTGCCAATCTTTTTAAGATGGCCAAAAAATGGTCACAGGCTGGCAAGGCATTTTGTTTGGCTGCTGACATGAATTCAAAATCTGGTCGAAAACATGATGCAGCTAATAATTACGTAGATTCAGCCAATTGTTATAAAAAAACTGATCCTAATGGTATGAATAAAATTACATTTTATAGTATAAAATATAATAATAATAATAAAGTGCAAAAATGTATTGAGCTAAGTATTTAGAAATTTTACAAATACTCTTATAAAACTTTATACTCTTCTTCTTCCTCACCTTTATACCATCTACTTGGAGTCGGCCACCCTTATCCTAAACTCACATGACATGACCTCCCAAATCATCTACACAAATATTAACCATCCTCATATCACATTCAATAACATCCTTCCATCTCTATTTTGGTCTTCCTCTGCCTATTCTTCCCTGATCATTAATTTCCATAACTATTCTTATAATTTCTAATTCCTCTCTCCTCATAACATGACCAAACCATTCAAGTCTATTTTCTCTCATCTTATCCACGATTAACACTACACCTATACTCCCTCTTATAAGTTTGTTCTTTAAATTAGAAAATAAGTAAGGGCTTAAAGCAGAACCTTGGTACACTTCTACTTTTACACTAAAGTCTTATATTACTCCTCTCACACTTTTTTCCCTGGTACAAGTGCCATCACATATATCCTCTATTATATTAATGTTACTTTTTGGGACTCATTTTCTCATTAATGCTCACTTTAAAACCTCTCTTAGTACTCTATCACACACTTTCTCTAAATTTAAATACTATACACAGCTTCACTTTAATTACCGCACGCTTGGCTTCTTTACACAAATTTTTATACTAAATCCAATCTTCTTATTTTTTACCATACTTTGAATAGCTTTTTATTATTCTCTATGATTGTCCTCATTCCATCACCCAGTTCATAAAACTTTATACTATAATATTTATATAAAATTTTATTTTTGTAGAATTTAATTTATATAATTAGAAATAATTTATATAATAAGAAATATGTCATTTAATTAAATTTAATAATCTGTTATTCTTTTATAATTTAGAAGCAGCAAGTTGTTTAGAAAAAGCTATTGATATATATACAGATATGGGCCGTTTCACAATGGCTGCAAAACAACATCAAAATATTGCTGAAATGTATGAGACTGAAGCTGTAGATTTGGAGCGCGCAATTAATAATTATGAAAAAGCAGCTGATTATTTTATGGCTGAAGAGAGCAAAAGCTCAGCCAATAAATGCAAACTTAAAGTAGCTCAATATGCTGCTCAGTTAGAAGATTATGATAGAGCAATACAGATTTATGAAGAAGTATAAAATAATTATTTATATAGTAATAGAAAACATTATTGAATGTATTACATATATATTTCATTTTATTTTAGGTTGCGGGAACGTCTTTAGATAGTTCACTGTTGAAATATAGTGCTAAAGAATATTATTTCAGAGCAGCATTATGCCATCTATGTGTTGATGTTCTTAATGCTCAATTGGCTATGAATCAATACATTGAGCGATATCCAGCATTCCAAGATAGTCGGGAATTCAAATTATTACAGGTAATTTGAAAATAAACCTTCCTTTATTATTATATTTCCTGTGTAATTGTACCAAAATATTTCTTATAATATTGTTAAAAATTGATCTTAATTGTTTTTTAAATGAAATTTCATTGTCAAGTATTTTTCTTTTGTACTCTGTAAGCAAAAAAAAAATTTTTTTGTAAATATTTGTCATTTTTTTATAATAGTAGTAGTAAGGTGTCAAAATCAATTTTTTTTCAACTTATAGAACATAATTTAAACTTTAATTTAACATATACTTGAAGCTGGGAATATTTCCGGAACATTTTCAAAAATAAAATTATAAAAGTTTAACTTTTCATGCAAAAGTATCAATTTGGAATTACCCCAGTGGCCCCACTTAAGGGCCAGATTTTTTAAAAATATATCTAAAAAAAGGAAATACATGAAGTATTTATAAAATATTTTATTTTAATTGTTCCATTTTTAAAAAATGTATGGCAGTTTTATGTCAAAAAAAATACCGAAATTTACAGACTTTAAAAATAATTATTTTTTAATAAATTTTTCCCATTTACAGGGAGAAAATGAAAAATTTTCAATTTTTAAGAATAATGTCTTCAAACAAATATGGTTTTTTTTTATTTTTTACTATATTATTAAAAAAAATCGCTTTAGTAAAAAATATTATGACAAATACAAAATAAAAAATAATAATAAACATACCATGATAAAATAATATTAATAGTAATATTGTGTACATAACGTGTAATTTTAATTATCTTACATGTCAGACCAATTTTTTGTCCACGTTATATAGCAAATTTTGCTATTTATTAGTACATTTTTATTAGAATATACAATAACTGTAAAATTCTATACCTTGATAATAATTATAAAAAAAAAAAATTAACAATTAATTAAGTCATAGTATTTTGAAAAACATTTGAATGTTAATTTTATTATTTTATTTTAGGTTTTATTGAATCACATCCAAGAACAAAATGCTGATGGATTTACAGAAGCTGTGAAGGATTATGATTCCATATCAAGATTGGATCAATGGTATACAACTATATTGTTGCGTATTAAGAAACTAGTGAATGATACTCCTGATTTACGTTAATTTATTGATATATCATGGGAATCTTTTATTTACATAATTGATGTTATTTAAATTATAATTTAAAATTCAACAGTAACAAAACATACTCATTGTACAGTAGAAAACTTAATAGTTTACTAAAGAGCTTGTGAGTTGTTTTATTATCAAATGCCCAACTGTTGAAAAAAATTATTTTAACAAATCCTGTTATAAGTATTTATAAGATATCATTAAATTCATAATGACTGTATGGCAATTGTTGTAATTTGTTGAAAATGTAATCCCACATTCCTTTTTATGTGTAACAATATATTGTTATTACATTAGCAATTTATACAAATGTGTTTATTTATGTTTCATTTAAATAATTTTTCTTGTTAAGAGATTAAATTATTGGTTAATATGAATTTATTATATCTTTTAAAGTAAATAATTATATTTTTTTTTATTCACAGTATCCACATTAATTTAATTTTAAAGATAATTATTATTTCTCAAATATATAATTTGGTTTGATTCAGTAAAGTTATAAAACTTATATGTAAAATTTTGTGCTAAAACCAACTTGATGAATAGGATGATAGTATGAATAATTACTAGATTTTCAATAACACTAGTTAATTCCATAATTAAATAATTGTACTTCAAATTTATTTGTCTTACACCTATTAAATTTTTTTTTTTGTAAATAAAAGTTACAAATAATATGCATGTTAGATAATTTGAATCTAATTTTCTTTTAATGTGTGTGAAAAGTGTTAAGTTTTTGAGTTCTCTATTTTAAATACTATTTTTTGTAAATTTTTTTATGTATTATTATTGTTTTATAAATGTTTAACAGGTATTTGAGAAAAAAAAAACTACTTTATTGTTCTGTTTTATTATTACATTATTATCTATTATATAGTTCATTGGTGTTTTAATTTTAATGTTGTGTAATATATTAACTGATTAATTGTTATAACATGTCACTAAATGAACAAGTCTTTGAAATATTAGGTTTAAATATTGGCAAATTATCAACTTTTAATTACTTCATGATAATATTCACATGACTATGAACTATTAATTATTCAGTGATAACAATGTCATTTTGATGATAGTGTAAAGCTTTTTATGTATGAAAAATATATACTTATTAAGTTACACGTTTTATTTGTTTTGATTTTTGTTAATAATTTTAGTAGTAAAAAAAAATAGAATATAGAGCTCAAATTTTTTGTCAATATTTAATTGTTTTAAATAAGCATATTTATAAATAAATCTATAAAAATTGACTTAGCATTTATATAATTGTATTATTTCACCATAAAATTTTATTTCAGTAAAAACTCGGTGCTTTATACACAATTTACTAATTTCTAAAAATATATAACAACCAAGAATATCCATAATTATATATATTTAAAATTTAAAAAAATGTAACCTAAATTTAAAATAAACCTTTATTTATTTTCTAGTAGTAATTTTTGTTTATCTATAATAAACTGTTATAAAAATGATTACTCACTAAAGAGCATCCTTTTTTAATTAATAATGTAGAGTTTATTTATTTTTTGTATTATAATTTATTTAACTGTGCTGAATCAAAATAAAAATAAACCAAGATAGTAGAATTCAACGAACGTAACCTCGAAGTACATTTCCTTTTATAATCTCGAAATATCAATGACGATCTCTTTGATGAATTTATTTCCAAAAGCATACTGCATTACACTTCATTCAATATGGCTTACACTTTATCTACGACATCTTCCCATTTCCAATTTATGGAAATGTGCATTATCGGGATGAGATTGACCTATCGGTAATTTTGGACTTTTATTTATCGTTATAGGCGATCAAAAAAGTGTTAGCACCCACATTGGTTAATAAGTGTCTTCAACGTGCAAATTGTTGAGATTGTTTAAATAAAATAGGTCATGTAGTTATTTTACTTTGTGGCAATTATAACACACTATTTTTTTTATGTTTTACACATATTTGTAACATTAGTTAAAAATGTTAAAGTTAAAGGTGTTTAACTGTTTTACCACTAACTTTTTAACGAATTGTTTCTAACCAACAAGAATGATAATTAGTGCCGTCCCAAAGCTACAAATATTTTAAGAGGCGAAAGTTTTATTTTTACCGATAAAATTTTTTTTTATGGTAGCATCTCTTCTATGAAAAAATTACCAATTAAAATTATTAATTTTTGCCAAGTAAGAGGATTACTTTTTCCCACGAGACAGCTCTGGTAAAAGAATCAATGTATTCACCAAAACTGCCTGATGTGCTAAATAATATATCCTTCAATTTTTATTTTCATAAAATATATTTTAAAAGTTTTAAATTACATGATTTAACAATAAAGAAAATATTTAAAAATTAACAGTGACGTATATAGGGAAACCATTTGCGTGTAGAACTCTACAATAATCCGTAATTACATAAATCTTAGACATGGCAAATAAAAAATATGAGTTTATAAAAATATCCATAAATTTTAATTTCTCTCATATTTATATTACGCCTTTGAATAATACTATTTTATACAACATTTATTTATAGATTATTTATCACGTCAATAAATTATTTCCTATGTTTAAAATACAAAAACCTATTGAAAAATTCTTCATGTTTGTTGTAACCTTGTTTTAAATAAAAATTTTTTACTTTTTCAAGATTTTTAATACTACACTATTCTAAGTAAGACTTTGCTAATGTAAAAATTATAGTGATCTTAAAAAAATTATCAATACAATCTATATAGTATAATCAGTGGCGTATTAAGAGGTTGGCACAGGGACACGTGCCCCCCTCTTATTGACTGAGTCATGTAAATATTTTATCAAGCAATGTAATAATGTATATCATTAGAAAAAGTTATTTTTTAGTTATCGATGATAGTATGGATTTATAAAATGTTAGTTGATATAGTTGTCTTGTGGGACAAAATTTGACGCCCGCACAGTTGTCCCGATAATATTATCACCTATTTTTAAAGTGTTTATTGCATAGAGATACACACTAATTTAAAAAAAAATACTTTTATTAATAAAAATGGAATCAACACAAATAACAGATTTTTTTTTCAAAAAATTCTATAGAATATGTTTAATATGTGTTAACAAAAGTTATAAGCAAAAAAAAGTCGTTTTATAGTACCTTATTCATAAACATTTTTTGTGACCTCAACACATTATAAATTTCTAAATACGCTACTGAGTATAATACTCAAAAGGAGCAACACATAACTATACTTCATTACAAAATCATATGCTTCAAAAGTAAAACTATTGCCGTGGTAATGGTATCATTGGTATATTTACCATGGGTCTACATCTATTATCGATATAGATCACCTTTCTCCGTGTTATCACTACTGACGGTACTATCACAAACGCGCTCATAAATCCCTGGTACCATTACCCGTTTTTCGAGTATATTACCGAGCTAAAGTTCCAATTTGGTACATTTCGAGTGAAAAGGGAAATAACTATGCCAGACATTAAATAGATATGAAAATAGTTTAGCTTCTACATTTCTGGTACCATTTTTATAATTTATTTCAGTAAATGACTTTCGATTACAAAATCCTTTAAAATACTTTTTATGCTATTTGTACGACATTTTAATTTAAAATTTACAAATGTAACTCATTACACTATTCCTAAATTGTTTATTTTTTTTTTTTTTTAACTGATGCTAACACAACAATTATGATGTATAGTGAAATTAATTTTTATTATTTATCAGATTTTTTGTTTCACATAACAAGAAATGTGTAATTTATAAAAGTAGCAACTTGTTGAAAATTTAATTACCGTGGTTTAATAAAAGCTACTAAAATTTTAATTGCAGTACCATTTCCAAAGTACTTTGCTTGAAAAATAAAAATCGCCTGTTTTTTATGGTATTCGACAAACATAAAATAAATAATTGCACCGGCTCAATAACGTTATGACGCTTTCCACTTTATCCGAAGTAAATCGAATTAAAAGTTAATTATAATATTAAAAACAGCAGTCTAAGAGGCTGCGAATGGCTATAAAAATGGACGACTGATACTGTGAAACTACCCAGAGTTCTACGGTCATCCTTCTCTATAGCGTTAAGGAAAAAGATTTTATGGTAAAAAAAAAATTATCAACAACATTGTGAATTTTCTACAGAATAATAACGTTTTCTTAGTGTCCATAAAATATACGTGAAATTATTGTTCAATTCGTTACTGCATAATTTATTCAGATATACGTGTAGTTTGAATACGGTCACTGTTTGCTGAAATGATTTAAATTCAACCGGCGCTCTATGCTGACAATTGTGCTACACCAATGCGACTTTTTTCTTAATTTGCCTATACTTTCCAATTCAAAATTAATACTTAAGAACTATTACAATGAGTATTACTCATATTACTGGATTAAAATATTAAGTCGTGTACAGAAATAATTACAAACACCAACTGTTATTTTATATATATATATATAATAGCAGTCTAGTTATACCATTGTGTTTAATTTAAAAACAGGTGGTTTCCATTGGTGTCTCAATATTAGCTTACACTTAATCTTACTAAAACAAAGTTCTTTGTTATGCTTTAGAATTTGTTAAACAATACAAATACAATATTTAAAAGTTTGGTTTTGATATTGCCTAATATTAAGGATCTAGTGAAATAGTTACACCTATAGAAAAAACAATATTAACATATTTCTTTAATGTTCAAAATTTATTTTCTAGATAATACAATAATTATTACTAAAAATTACAAACACAATTTTTTACTTATAACTATTAACAAACCAAAAATCAATCATCAAAAATTATACTAATTTTAAATATGATGCATTGGACTATTTACGATAAAATGTTTAGGCGGGACTCTAAATAAAACAAAAAATAATTACGAGTATTGACATAAGGTGTTTTTAAATTAATTATTTGTTACAATTCAAAACAGTCAAGACTACCATTTAGAAATTTATAAATAAAAAGAAATTATTATGTTTACGTCTAGCTTGTAAAAAGACATTAAAATTAATATTATAGATTTGTAATACTAAATTTTTACTGATCGAACAAAATCGTTAATAATTAATAAATAAAAATTATTATAAAAAGTAGCAAAAATGTATTTAAGTTTATTGAGCGTTAAATGTTAATGGAAAATATACATTTTTACTATAAAAAACTATAATTATTTTATCTTACAGTTCTGCAATCGAATTTAAGTACAATTAAAGTTGTCAAAATGTAAGCAAAATTTTTCTGTTTCAAAACTAATTGTAATGTTGTGTAATATAAACAAATATTTTAAAAAGTTTTGTTTTGGTTAACATTAATAAATATAAAGAAATTCGGAAGTTCTTTTTTTAATTTTTGAAGGAGAATGATCATATGGATAATTTTGACGTTGAAATTATAAATAATATTAGAATTCCTACTGGTACAAAAAAATGATGGATCTCCTTGGATAAGTTATATATTTACGAATGTTA